ACTTACAACCTTTGACACTGCATATAACTCTTATTGTGAGCTGACAGTACCTTGACATGCAGGTTTGTTATAAAGAATGACTAAATCTATTTCCTATAATATCAAAACTGCCATACAATACATGAGAATTAATTCCAAACTACTAACACTGGGCTGTTCTATAACAGACCTCAGATTGTTACTGAACTTGCAAAAGGACCAGCAGCTAAAATTAGATTAACATTTTCTCTTACATGATTTGTTGATATTTTGCAATAGTAATAGGATATTCTTCATTACTTCCACTTGTGTATTCATCTGTTTTACACCGGCCATAGGTTCATCTGATATTTATTTAGAAGTGTGCATGAACTGAGATTCCATGGATCAATTGTTTAAATTAATCACCATTCTTAAATTCAATGTTATTTTATTTACATATTCTTATAATTTATGCTATACTGTTGTAATGTTACAGCTTTTAACACCTTTTTATTCTCTGGATAAGAATTGATGTTATTGTACTAAAGAACAATTAAATACAATAATAAGAAATCAGGCAAGTTTTGGCCTATGTTATGCCTTCCTGAACTCAGTACTATGAAGACTAGATACAGGTATCTCTGAATGGCAACATGATAATGCCCTAAGATAATTTTGGCAAATGACTTCCTCAGAATGAGGGTCTCTATCCATTAATCTTGCCTCAAGTATATAGTCTACAGAAGCCTTCCTCAGCTTGGTCTCTCCAGCTTACATTGGTCATACTAGCAGGATAGCAGATGGTGGGAGCTGTAGTCTAGCATCTGGAGACTATTAAATTGGGAAAGAATGGTCTATTATATATAAAACATGTTATATAGAGAGAAAATGAATGAAGAGTATAATGCACAGAGATGTCTCTAAAAATAGCTAAGCAAAATTGAAAAAATGGGTATCTATAGCTTATATAACCTATGCTCCAAGAGCTTCTTAATGCCTATATATTTTTATTAATCTAATTACTGATTTTATTGTCCCTCCAAGAATCAAAGAACAAGAAGTCTTAGCCATCCTCCTGCAAGAAACAAAGCAATTAAACAGCAGCAAGATACTATTTCTGTGCAGCTCTTACCACATGGGATTTTGCAATAATTTGTTTTGCTGTTTTACCTTTTACTTGCTGCTGAGCAAGGCCACTGCGATGTTCAGCAAAACTTTCCTGGGTCAAAACTGCCACGGAGCTCATGGTTGATTTCCCACCCACACACAATCCGGGTATGCCACTGATGGTAGGAAAGAAGAGAAACTGTCACGATAACTCCCAGTATGGTACCATTAAAAAAGGAAAGAAACAAAAAATTGGAAAATATATTATAACAGAGGAACAATTTTAGCTGCTTCTTCGAAAGATGTACAATTGACCTTGGCTGAGCAGACAAGGGAGATCTCTTCCAAGCCACAACACTCTCAGGGTACAATTTGTCTATACTGTAGTACCTTTCTTAGATTATTTAATAAAACACTGATACAATGAAATCATTGTTTCTTTTCTATTGGTCTTCAAAGAGATGACATGCTTTTGCAACAACATCAAAGCATTTATTCTTCTTTTAGTAATGGACATGAGGTGCTATCATTATGTCTTCCTAATGGGTTAAAGATCCAAGACACAGAGCTGCAATAACATTTGCAATTGTTTTTATATTTAAGAATATTGGATTTTTTAGCTTTACAACTATGAAATAAAAAATGACACCTGGAAAATGTGCACCTCAGAAATGTGAGGTTTGAAACTAAATAGCGAACGAGGCTCCACACACAGGTTCTCTCATCATCCTTTACACAGAAAGCAACATCCTAGATTACACAGAGAGGTTCCTCTCATTTAAGTGAACATTAATGTAGCTCCCCTTCTGACTTTCCAACTAAATGGGCAGTGGTCTGGGAAAGTAAGGGGCAGTTTCTATGGCTTAAATCAGTATCTCTTTCAAATATCTACCATAATTAGTACTTTCCTACCTTGGGTACCTTCCAGATATGTGTACTTCAACTTCCAGAATTCTCAATGATAAAATTGGCCAGGGAACTCTGGGAATAGAAGTCCACACATCTAGAGTGTGATCAAGGTAGGAAAGACCATAGAAACGTATTATGGATCCAACCATACTATACAGTATCTTACACAAACAGCCTTTGTATGCTGGAGTGTCTAATCTTTCTGGTTTATTTTGAGAGAATGTAATAGTATTATTGCTGGACAGGGGTGAGTCCTGCTCATTCAAACAGCCAGGCCCAAGACAATAAAGTTAGGTGGAGCATGAATTCCAGAAATAGGGCATAAGAATGGACTTTGGCCTCAAATGTCCCTTCTGAAATACAAAATCTGTGTATACAGATATGTATGTGCATAAGTACCAGTTCACATGCAAGGCTGGAAGGAGAGAAGACGCCTACATGAACCACAGACTCATTTATACAACTATTTTATATAAGAGAAATCTGCGCAGGAAACATTAAACCTTAATAGCTAACAACATTCCTCGCCTTCTAGATTGGGGCATTTTCTTATCAAGGACATTATAAAGCCTCTCCCATGATCTTTCCAATTCATGAACAGCACTGCTGTATATGAAACAATATTTTGAATTAATTGACATTTCATCACTGAAACAATGTATTATAGAAAATGGCTTTGCTAACTCATCAGCCAGACTAATAAATCTGGAATAGCCAGTTCTAGATACATCAGAATATGGTTGTCCAATTTCTAATAAACAGTAATGCAACCAACATTCACTTCCTGTTTATGGTAACAGGAATTAAAGAGTACCTCAAGGCACTCAGGTAATAGGCTATACATATAAATTCTCCCCAGCACTACTCTGAATCCAATTAGATAAAGTTAGCATTCATAAATCACACGTAGTGGGGATAATTATGTGCTGTGCGAAAGGTACTTTTAAAAAACTTTGTTGCCTATTAATTATAAGAATTAGGCAACACCCAAATATGAGAAAGGATGCATAATACCTTCCCACTTTCACTGAACAATACACAGTATGCATCTTTTCAGTTCCCTTTAATTATCTTCTTTATGAGCTAGTCCAGATATGTGCAATTTTTCTTTTAACATATTATTACATTTGCTGTGCTTAAAAAAAAACAGCCTAGAAATTGTTTTTGAAATATACAATATATGTTCCATAAGCTAATAGTTTTGCTTTCCTTCTTAATCAATATATTAGGAATAGAATACTTGAGTTTGATTTGTCTGAAGAAAAAGGCTAGCTAATATCTTTTTAAAATTAATTTTATTAAAGTTTATAAATACAAAAATAAGATTACTACAAACTAAGAAAAAAATAAGTAAAGAAAAGAAAAAGAAAAGTGCACAGAGAAAAGAGAAAAGAAAAAAAGAAAAAATATATACAAAATTACTCCCCCCTCCCTCCAGACAAGTATAAACGACTTCAGTAACTTAACACCTTCTCTAGTACTGTATTTCAAAAAAAAAAAAAATCTTCCCCTATCTCATCTCCTATCAATAAACAAATTGTAAAAACTCATCATTCAGTCCTAATTAGCAAAAGTTAAGAGCTACCAGAAATAATATATATATTTTAACCTTAATCAAATCCATTTTGTATTCCAACTTAACACTTCCTTGAAGAAATAAAACAAAAGAAATTTCTCCCCATTTATAAACAGATATTTAAATCCTCGTCATTCAGTTCTGGTCAAAATAAAAAAAAAATCCATTAATAGTTACCAGAAACCACAACATATATATTTTAACCCTGGTCAAATAAGTCCACATTGCATTCCTTCTATTTACTTTTTAAAAGCTTAATCTTTAATCCCACCAAATAACAACCCACAAATTGATTTCTTATCATTTTCTCTTTGTCCTCTCAGGAACAACTTCAGTGGTTTAACACATCCCTGTTGTAAATCCAAAATTAAGAAGGCTATCCAAGTCACTCTTCTGATTTATTTGTATGTCCCCTTTAATTATTAAGACATCGGCCAGTTTCATTTGTAAGTCCATTGTGGCATCTTTTTCCCTATCACTCTTATAGTCTGTCATTTTTAAATCCATTTTCAAATCCACAACCTCTTTTTCCATATCACTCTTGTAGTCTGGCATTTTTTAAAAATCCATTTTAAAATCCACATTCAAGTCAGCTTCAGTCTCTATTTTGTCCGGTAAAATCTGTTCCTCTTCTGTAACCTCTGTTAAATCCATTTTTATAGTGGCAGACAATCTTGAAAGTAATTTCTGAGTACATTGTTCCCAAACAGCCTTAATTTCTTCCATAGTCAGATAATATTGCTCCATTGTATTAACAGGTCTCTTCTCCTTTAATTGTAATCCTTAGTTCTCTCTGGTTCCCTCTAGTCAACCTTAAAGTCCTAATTTCTGAGTACATTGTTCCCAAACAGCCTTAATTTCTTCCATAGTCAGATAATATTGCTCCATTGTATTAACAGGTCTCTTCTCCTTTAATTGTAATCCTTAGTTCTCTCTGGTTCCCTCTAGTCAACCTTAAAGTCCCCTCATATATCATATCATATCATATCATATCATATCATATCATATCATATCATATTTATTTTCCAATCAGCAAACCTTTCCCATGGGAGGATTCCTTACAATTAATTTCAAAATCTTCATATATACTTTTGTAAGATTTTAAACAACCCTCAGAAAATATTCTTTTAAGCCCATCTGGCCCCTTAACTTTCCAAAATCAACATTCTAGTCCCCCTTTTGCTGTTTTCCAAAAACAATTTTTTTTCTTTTTAATCGTTAAACTGACATAAAACTTCTTTCATCCAGGCTAGAAGGAAATTCTCCTAGTGTGATGAAACTTGCCTTTCAGAAGGTTCTTAACTTCCAAATAATCAATAATAAGCAATTCCTAAGTTGGTTTAGAAAGGAAGTGGGTGAACCCAGTGTCCGTTTTAGAGGTGCTGAACCGCGGCTTAGGCAGGATGTTTTTCCCCTTGGCTCCCAGAGCTCTCAAATCTGCTGAAGATTGCTATTTTATGATCTCTTCGTGAGGAGAGATCTGTATGGAGCAAACTTGTGGGTGATCCTACCCCTCTCCTTGATCCAGAGAGGAGTTCCGAGAAGCCAATCCATTCACTGGCTCCTCTTTCCACTGCAGTTGTCAGCTCCACTCCTGCAGAGCCATCTTCAGTCCACCATTGCTTCCCCAGACATCCAAGCTAGCTAATGTCTATTTGCAAAGTTGTGTAGGCTGTAGATGGCTATGGAATGTAATCCCAGTCTTTTCTGGTACTTACCAAAAATTAATCAAGATAGATAGATATAGTTTTATTAAAAACTACAATAAAAAGATAAAAACTAATAAAATAAAAAAGAAAAGAATAAAAAGAAAAGGGAGAAAGTGCAGAAGAGAAAAAATAGAAAAGAAAGAAAAAAATAATATTGTAAAGGAAAAGAAAATATATAGGGAAATGACTTCCCCCTTCATCACAAGTATAAACAAGTTTAGCAACTTATCACCTTCTCTTAAAATACAACAAATGATCTCTTCTTCCCAAATCCCATCCCTATTTATAAACAAATACTTAAAGCCTCATTGTTCAGTCCTGATCAGCAAAAGTCCATTAAGGGTTCCAGAAATAACAACACATCTATTTTAACCTTGATCAAATAAGCCCACTTTATATTCCTCCCTTTACTTTTATCAACCTTGATCTTTAGTCCCTTCAAATAATGTCCTAGAACTTGATTTCTTTTTATCACTTCTCACAAAATTCTTCAAAGCTTTAACAAGTCTCTTTTGTAAATCCAGTATAGGAAAGTTATCCAGGTTACTCTTTTGGTTTGTTATTTGTATATCCCTTTTAATTATTAAGACATCAGTTTCATTTGTATGTCCAATGTAGCATCTTTTTCCACTTCCAGATCAGTCTTAGTCTTGTCCAGTAAGACTTGTTCATCTTCCATAACAACTTTTAAATACTACCTATAGAGGCAGACACTCATTAACTTCTGGGTTCATTGTTCAAAAATTTCCTTCAATATGTTCAATGGAACTAAAGATTACAATTAAAGGAGAAGAACATTTAAATTTGACTTGCTAATACTAATACAGAATGGAGCATTTTATATATATTGAAGAAGCTAGCTTTCGAACAATTTTAAAAAATCAAAATCCTTGTCCATATTGCACAAATGACTCAGGATGGGGTTTTTTTTTTCCTACAGTGTTTCACATTTGGCTAAGTTTTTCCAGTTCTGAAAAGGTGACATGTGATGCATAAATGCAAATTTTATTAGTCTGAACATAACAAAGATGCACTAAATATCCTACTTTAAAACCACTCTGTGATACTGGTAATTGGCAGATTACATATATCTTGTGGACTCCATGAACAATTGATGGGCACTACTAAGGCCAAGTGTTGAAAGGGATCTCAGGTCAAAGTCTGGCAGACATTTTACCATACAGATCTGTAAACTTACCAGCTAAATGGTCAGTAGCCAGAAAGTCCGTCCTGTGAACTGCCTGTTTTTCAGCCTGCCAGCTTCTGTATCAGAGAACAAAGGTACTCGGCTTTAGTAATATTATTACATATGCAATTATACAAACTAATTGGCCTGAAAGCAGTTAAGTAAAATTGAGACAGGACTAACACAAACTGTACATTATTTTTCAATATCTGTGATCTGTTTTTCAAACAAGAGTCATTCTGCCCCAGTTCAAGAAGACAAGGTGCCATATCTGTTCATTGACATTTCAACGCCCCACAGTTCAAAAGTCCAGGCAAAAGTTTAGCTTTTAGAGTTCATTTAAATGACCCCATACTGTGAAACATGGATGTGGGGCAGGGTGAGCAAGTGCAACAGAAGGATGTTTGTAAATAGTTTTGAATCAACCTTAAGAGAAGTATCAAATAGGATTCCTTAGGTTTCCATCCTCAGCCGAGTACTATTCAACAACTTTAAAAACGACCTAGAGGATGGAATGGTAGAGATGCTTGAAATTCACAGATGACGCTGGGGTAGAAATATTAGCTAATATCTTAAGAGGACAAAAAGTCACAATTCAAAATGACCTCAGCAGACTTGAGCATTGGGTCAAATCCAACAGAATGATGTTCAGCAATGACAAAAAAAAATTCTACATCTGATCTAATTAAAAAAATACCACAGAGAAAAAGAGAGAAAAAAGGAGATATTTTAAATTTGCAACTGATGGTGTTTGTTGCTAATAGAGATGTGCAGAATGTTTCCTGCATGCACCATTCCGTGCATGGAACAGCTGTAGTATGTGCCCAAACTGAAACACATGTATTTTATGTTTTGGCCCATGCATGGAATGTAATGGGATTGTTCTGATGGAGAGGGAAGGAGGGAAAAAATGAGGCAGCTGAGGAGAGAAGGGGAAGGGAAGGCACTGGGATATGTTGAGCTGGGATACTGGTGACAGCTATAGGAAGAAAAAAAAGGTGTTGGGAAGACTGGGAGCAAATAGGACAGTGAGACATTCCACCCTAAGACAGCGCCAGGAGGATGGGAAAGTGTTAGGAAGATGGAGGCAAATGGAGCAGCAATAAATGCTTCCTAGCATTTGCTGAAGGGAGAGAGGGTGACGTGAACAATTTTACCCTACTCACCTTTCTAGATTATGTTTCATTCCAAATAGAGAACAACCAAACCATTCCAGATTTCAGTTCTAATAAATTGAGGCTGACCTGAAGCAGTTTAGCAAATCCACCAGTTTGGACAAAAACACAATAGTTTGTTCTGGGTTCAAAACAAAACATGTATCCTTTGTGCACACGGTGCTTATCTAGTTGCTAATCAAAGTAAATGGTTTAATTAGGGCTCTCTAACCATAAAACTTTGAGAGATACTGTTGCACTGTGTTATGTGACAATCCCCTTTCCAAGTGCAGGATAAAGCAAAATATTTTGGGGGAATCTATGGGACTTAAGAGGGGGATAGCACTGAATGCTTGTTTGGAAAATACTGGATATTCAAGCTCTTTAGCCTCTGCTTATTCTAACTCAGTTGCCCAATCCTGTGACAGAAAATAATCATACTAACAAAGTCTTAAACTATTTTTCAGTCATCATAACTAATTAAAACCTTCATATCCTTTTGAATTTTTGCAGGCTTCCTAACCAGGCTTAACACTGTACAGTGTGTTGTCTACACAATTAATCTCTGATAGCAGGATACACACCTCTTTTTGAAAAACATTATTTAGAAAGGCCACTGTTTCAGAAATCCCTAAATCTAGTCATCTAGTTGAAAAGTTTGAACTTAAAAGATTCTGCTGCTCTAGTGCAATCCTGCATCTATTGGTGCATACTTGTCTAAGAAGTTTGCATTTCAGCCCCACATAAAAATACCCTATTCCACAAAAGTTATCCAATTTTGTGAAAGAAATACAAATCCACGCCTACTGATTTCCAGTGACTGTTAACGGAAGATAACGGTTTGGATGTGAACCTCAGACTGAACAGAGGGGGATCTGTAAATCAGTATGAAATAAACAAAACTACTTTTTGTATAATTTAAGTGGGGTCCAAATTAATTCTTGTGGTTATGGATATACGTGTGTGTGTGTGTGTGTGTGTTTTGAAATTTCAAAATAGTAAAACATCTCCAACTGTGTGACTGGGAGAAACTAACAGATAAAAGAGCTGCCAAGAAAACTGACAAGAGTCAGAAGATAGGAATGTAGTGTATGGACCAAGCATAAGTTAAGTATTTTCTTAAAATTAGACACTGAAAAAATGTACAGCTTTATGGACTTAAATACATTACACATAATGTAACAAAGATGAAGTTATGTTAATTTGTGTACTCAGCGTCTTGAAAAATGTGCTTCTATGAGACATAAGAACTCCCACCTGATCAGAGAAAATTTTGTAGTAAACAGGTAGTTGATAGATTTTCTACTGTTGGTTGCTTAACTACACCTGCGCCACTGGGAAAACCTGCTCAAACCAGTTTACATAAGGCAGTAGCAAGGGAATCTAATCAGTGTTTATGGGCATGGCTATTATTGGGTTTGAACACTGGGTTAAAGTTAAATGCTAATGATAGCCAGATTTCTGTGAAAGTTGAGCATAATACTGACAATAAAACTGGAAAAATTTATATGGTGAGAAAATACATAGATGACTACAGTAATTGGTTTACTGTGAACAAATCTGGAATAAATTATGTTCTTCCCCACAAAACCAAGCAGGATAAACTAGAAAATTATGTACTCTGCTACAGTACTAAGTATTTATGGCTCATTCATGACCTGTCACTACCTCAAAGAGGTTCAGTAGGAGATCTATGTAGCACCTGCATTACTGAGGAAGTACTTCTGTTGGTACATGTGTCTTTACTCAGGTTTACAGAATAATCTACCCTATAACACTGAGCAGGTTAATACCATTAGGCTCAGAATGTTAATTTTGTTACCCGTTTCTCAATTCATTTTAAACAAACTCTTTAGACTTTCTGGAAAAAATACTAGCATTTCAAATTTAGCCATGATCAACAGACCTGGCAAAGCTGCAACATAGGTACTGTGTGTTCTTTAATATGAATTTACAGGTAGTCCTTGCTTAGCTTCCATTCATTCAGTGACTCTTCCAAGTTACAATGGTGTTGAAAGAATGGACTTGCGACCGGTCCTCAAAGTTCTGGTTGTCAGAGCGCTCCCGCAGTCACATGAACAAAATTTGGGCCCACCCGCATTTATGACTGCTGTCCATCCTTAGCTGATCTTTGTCATCTTCACCTGCCTCCCCTCTGCTGGACTCACTATCCTGCAGAGGTGGTGCCATGTAAGCATCCCACAGGCTGGCGGATGAGAGCTGTGGGGGACAGGTGCCACAGGAGGGCACTAGGGAGCATGGGCAGGTGTGTGTCACATACTGCTACCAGCCGAGGCTTTCTTTCACACCACCTTTTTTCACACCGGTGCAGCCGGGGCCTTCTTTCATGCCAGCACAGCTGGGACCTTCTTTTGCACACTGGCCAGGGCCTTCCTTCATGTTGGTATGGCCAGGTCCTTCTTTCATGCATCGGCTAACTCCTTCGTTTGTGAAAGGACCCAGCCAGCATGACAAAAAAGACCTGGTTGGTGCAAAGGAAGGCCCGTGCAAAACAAGGCCCCAGTCGGTAGGGGCATGTGGCATGGTGGGCGCGCCGGCAAGTAGGCAGGAAGCCAAAAGGGCAGAGATGAGGGGGAGATAGGTAGGTGGGGAGAGTTGAAGCGGAGGCAGTACCTTCTTCAAAGAATAGCTTGGACCCAAGTGGGTTCTTGCCAAACAACTACATGGGATTCACTCAACAACAGTAACTGGGACTGCTGGAATTGCCATCACTAAGCAGGGCGGTCACATGATATTTTGCTCAATGACTGCAACAGTTAGCAATGGAGTTGCTTGTCCCAATTAGGGCCATTAAGCAAGGACTACCTATATTAATATAATCTGCCAAATACCAATGTACAACCTATCACATATATTTTGCCTTTTTCCAGTTCCGACATTTTTCTCAGAATTTTGAATAGCCAGGTATTAGTTTAGTGGTCTATGTTCTGAGTCAGACCAAATTAGATTCAAGATATTTCAGTACTGTAACTTATGATCTGCCTAACAGGAATGTAACCTTGTAGCATAGTTCTTGCCCTCAGAAAAACGGCATACATCATTGACATATGACAGCTATTATTAAGAATCAGAAGTGGTGAAGTGGGATGAACAAAGACAGGGGTACAAGAAAACATAAACAATGTACGCAAATGCTTTCAATAAGATAGGGACAGTGATTTCAGTCAGTTACTGATTGGGTAAGGCTGTGCCTTCTGAACTCATAATACTCCAAAAGGAAAGGCATAGAAAGATAATTGAGATCTGATGCAATCTTGATTTTTTCTACTTTCAGATATTATTTGACAATGAGGTATACAGAGTAATGAAGAATGAACCTGAGTAATTGTCTAACAAAAGCTTAGGAAACCTTGTTTGATAGCTCAGATAAACCTTTTTCTATAATCAAAAAACACAACAGAAAAAGGAAAGAAAGTCCTATTCTACAATGAAAGAAATTAATCACCAGGATGTTCACCACGAGAGTTAATACAAGCATGCGCGATAGAAAAAGGAAAGGACAACACAGAATGCGTTTTCATTATACTTATATGCCACTATTCAGGACAAAGCTTTTCCACAGACATTTTACAAAAGGCAACTCATAATATCTTTCAGCGGGATGCATTTACTATGATGTTTCTCAAGTAAAATCCACTTCTGGTGCTCTTCTCCATAGGAGGCTTTGGACAATAAACCACTTTCTAAGGATAGAACATGGATAATTGGGAAAGTGAAGGAAAAAAAAATGGACTGAATATTACAATGACAAAAACCCCTAGATTTCCATATAAAGGAAAACTATTAGAAACACAAGCTATTAGAAACACCAAGTAAAAAAAATTATACCTAAACAGTTGGTCAAAAAAGCTCTGCTCTATAAGAATTTAAGGTGAGGTAAAAAATTGTAAAACAAAAACAGA